GATAGAACAAATCACAAGCAGTCTGAATTCAGACATTAGAGGTGACCTAAATGATAAAACAAAATCACTAACCGGGACCAGATTTCTGTCTGTAACAGAATTTGGATTCACCATTACTTCTTGGTCCCATAGAGGATGACAAAAGCCAAATTTCAGACATCTGACTCGAATTCCGAATGTGTTCTGCTATTACTTGATGATCAAGTGAACCGCAACTACCCTCTTAGGTAGACGTTTCACAACCGCACCCTTTACACCACCTGGTACACGAATCACCAACGAATCGTTTGAATACATTTAGTTAATTGATCATAAACAGGCACACATGAAAACGAATGCTTCGGAAATTTGCGCTATCCATGCATGCATTATATACTTATAGATTAAATGTTATCCAAAGGACCGTCCTAGTAATCAACACTGAAAAGGTTCGTCTGAGTTTACCATACCCGTAGCGTTTCGAACACTTTGTTGAAAACCAAAAAAAGAAATTGAGGTTACAGATTTTGTAGAACAGAGAAAAACTGACCCGCCCCAAAGCCACACTTAAGGTAACCTGATAGCGTTTTTCCTGAATCATGTGTTCTTTATGGGACTCCATGGGATAAGTAGTTTAAGTAGCGTTTTTTATTGGACAGAAACTAAACTAAGTTGAATTAGATGACGAAAATACTTCGACAGACATCCTTGTTGTTTCTATTTACTCATACTTGAAGTTTCTCTTGAAACACTATTTGATCAAAACTTGATAAAGACCGTGTTTCTGTTTCTAGTGTCCGCCACATCAACAGACCGAAATTCTGAGGCGCAAGAAATCGCATTCGAAATCGAGGAACAAAAACACCCAGGATTAGTGGAAACACAAACTCGATGTGTTCCGCTTGTGCAAAAGCGAGTCACTGCCAGTGAACCGAGACAAATCACGGATGCGACAGATGGTAAGTGGAGCGTGGACATTTTTGGTTTTAATGGCAATTGTGAAAAGTTCAGTAGCCTCGGTGGGTTTCGAACCCACGAATGGACGCCGCCTACGCTTTGCACGCGCATGCTCTACCAGTTGAGCTACGAGGCCACACCGATAGCACCAACCTTTTCACATTCGAATTACCCATCCAACTTACAGATACTACTGTACTTTTCACAATCACCATAGAAACTTCAAATCTGCCAAATATCCATTTTTGGTTTTGTCCCTCGCGAATAAAGAGGATTTCGGTGAATCCATATTAAAACCTAACTATTCTACAGTCATTGCCAATTTTAAACTCGTACTACATTTAATCTTATCGTTATCCCGGGGGGGGGGTGTTAGACTGACTGCCATTTAAGAGTTTACCTGTACCGACACTAGGCAAATCCAAGAATCTTGATTAACTGATCATTGCTTGTAAAGTCCAGGGTTCCATATTCAATCAGTTTCGTAAATGCACACCGTCGATGATTAGTAAACAAACTTGAACAGTTGCACAGATCATGTATTTTTTAACTCAGTAAATAAAAAATAGAAACATGGGGGAAATAATACTGTTCGTTTTCAGCCAATTCCCTCATTTTCTCGTCAGATGAACTCGATATCCACCTACTCGATATTGATCGAACTTATCACCCACACTCTGGTAAATGACCAAAATTGTACATTTCTGTCTTTTCCTGTTGACCTGCAGATGACTTCGAAGAAAATTTACTTTTATCCATCAGTGATGTAAGTGATTTTTGTCTATGAAGTTGTCCTTTTTATCAAAAGTGTTGCATAATAAAAACTAGGAATCTTAGAATTTCATTTCTTGGATTTTCTGCATTTAGTACAAAAAGCATCGAAAAATAATTAGTGCAAATATAGATAAATTAAAAATGTTAGAAACCGGATAAGGTATCAACAAAGCAGGACAATAGACGTTTATTTGCCTTATCAATAGCGTCCTGATGTCTACACATTTGTTATGCATCCTTTCGCTATATTCTGGCTAAATGAAAATTTACGCGATTTTAGCGATATGGTTTACTGGAAATCATCAACCTTTCGTAAGAGCCACTTTTGTGCTTTGAGTTATTGTATCATTCAAACTGTATGATTCAATTGGTTGTCCTCGTGGGCACAGTGCTTCCAGAGATTACTGAAATATCCAAAGGACGACTCAGTTTGGAAACGGTTTTTAAGAACTTTGGCATAATTACGGTAGTACATTTTTGTGCCGAGAATAACAAAAGACATTGCACACCTCGTTGGAGCTGATCAGCAGTATGTACTTTTTGTGTTCATATTCGGATTCACAAAGGGTGAGGTCCTGAAAATAAGATTGACAGATGGACCCTGAGGCGTATGAATTTGGACACGCTAAAACAACGCTTTTTATAATCAATGGATTGATAACTTTTTAAAGGTTATAGATGGGGTAAGAGAAGCTGTATTTTTGTGAGCGTGGCTTACTTTTGCCATAGCCACTCAAAAGAATTCGTTGCGGCACAGTTAGAAATTAAACAAGTTGTATTTGGTTAACATAGTGAAACAACTAAATGAAGAGAACCTCAGACGTGAAACTGAATGAAGTGGATGAGGCTAAGAGTCGCGAATAGAGCACTGCAGCTTGTTGCCGGAATGATAATCAGGTATCATAAGCACCAGCGACTTTGTTACTTCTTTCCTCTCCCAGATTTTCTTTGGTCTGTTCTACAATGCGCTGGACCGAATGGTTCATCTAGATTCATCTATTTCCCAATCAGACTCATTGTGAAACAGAAATCAATGTCACAACACTCACGTAACCGGTCACTCAGAGATGGTTGGTCACTAATATATTATCCGAAGAAGTAATCGGACTTTCTGCAGTATTGATAAGTAAAAAGCGGAATCAAGAGAAATTAAGTTTGACTTTTTTACAGTTTGGTCATCTATAGTTGCACATTCTGAAATTATGATAAAAATGTCACTTTTCTTTGGTTTACCAGCCTGTAAACAAAAAGGGAGATCAACCACATCCGAAGGTGAGCCCTGTTAATACATAACTTAGTATGTTCACTAACGATGAGATTCGATAAACGCCCGTATAAGTGAATGTGACGATATTTATATTTCGTTTTTTACTATTTGAGTCCTCAGTTAAAGCAAAAAAAATGGTAAAATGCTTTTAAGAGAAATCTGCAATAAAATACAAATGCCGGATAAGCAATACGACAGTGGTGACATGGACTTCATTCTAATGAGCATATTATCTGGGCATCCTAGTCAATGTTTAACACATCTTTTGTCATTGATCTGTACACGAAAAGGTTTAAACTGCTTCAAGAACAGGATCTCTAATTTGCAACTTCAGTTTATTGCTTATTCAAACATTAATCACATGACTTTAGGAGCATCAACCCCATCAAATGCATTCAAAAAACCTTCGCTGCGTAGTCCGAATACTCCAAGCGCTTTCAATAATCAAGAATTTTTTTATTTCTTTCGATATAGGAGGCCTTCTTAGAAGTTGAACTGGATAATGACCAAATGAGTAAAAGCAAACAAACTGACGTGGTAAATTTCAAAAGCGAGACTGATGAGAAACTCAATGTGGACTCCGCTAACGGGTCCGACGAACCGGATTCTGAACTAATTCAAGTGGAATACGGGGATCAAAGTGAGCGGTACAATTTTTCCCGGAATACAACCGAAAACTACATCAAGGACATGGAACCCGAGCTGTTCCGGAAAATACTCACTTGCGCCGCTGCTGCCGGTCGATCGGAAAAAGAAGGTGCATTCAATTCGAAAGTAGTTACCGGTGGCCTGGTTCAAGCAGCTAACAACCATTTGCCGTCAGAACCAACAGAAAACGCGGAATAAAATACAAGGATTACTCGTTTCAGTGATACAGAATCACACAGACAGTATATGTGGTTCTACCCCGGTGGTATGAATCAATTCTAGCTCTCAGTGTTTATTCATACTTCACGATTAAAATCAGTTTTCGGTTGCCCTTCTCTAAGTGAGGAGTTTCTTTTAGCATGAACATTTTTGATTATCTCCGTTTAAAACTCCTAAATAAGTTTCCCTCCAGTGTAATGTTTCCATTATGGTCGTAATGTTCCTATTTGGTAGCCTGTGATTTGATTATGTAAGGATGAATATTGATATTTATGAAAAAAAACATTTCTTGTGCGCTAACTAAAAGAGAGACACAGAAGGTCTTGTGTAGAAACGTTTCAGTTTACACGTGGCAAAGTTTTGACCTATTTTATGTCAATGTATGAAACTTGGGACCAGCTATCTCCGCAGTTGTCTACCTACTAATATCGGTGGGGAAACAGCCACAGAATAAAAAACAGCCTTGGTTTCTGTGGAATAAAACCTCAAACCCAAACTTTCAAAGTTCCACTTAACAATGATGAAAACACGTTTAGCTGTCCATTGTAGGAACAGTATCAAAAACGTCTAGCAAGGGTAATGTGTGTTGATCATCTTACTGCATAGCTGAGCCTCGTTTGTCAGGGCTGAAACACTTTGAACGCCTTTCTTTTAGATCCTTCGACAGTCTCTAGATATTACAGTAACTCTGTTCTAGAGAGTTTTGGACACCGCTAAGCACCGATTACTTTTCAGCCATTCATTTTATTCACCAGTGGCTGGACAACTCTATTTGTTTGTGTTGCTTGCGGTTTAGTTTCATCCAGGTAAGAAAAAGTTTTGATAATCTTTGTTACAATATATAACTTCGAGCTATTTATATCAGGATTACTAAATAGAAGAACCCAAGAAAATTGGCTTTGAACCTTGAGCGTTGAGACGATTTGTAAATGACAAACCTTCAATTAACTTCTTCATTCAAATTTCTGTGTTAGGGTCCGGTTACCATGACCTTTCTTCCATCCATGTTTAACTTTAGCGAATTTGGCGAGTAGAGGCAGTCTCTTTCAGGGGTATTCTTACTACCCGTCCAATCCATCTGATACGATGGGAAAGCACGACATTTTCGAGCCTAAGTCTTCCGGGGTCTAGACTCCTCTACTGCATTCGATCGTTGCTCACGTCATTTCCCCATTAAACGTCGAGCAAAGCCAATGGTTTGTAATCCGTTTGTTTAGGTTTCCGATGCTGTTATTATGAATTCGACATTCGTGATCAAAAACAAGTGCCGTTTCTATGGCCAAATATACCATAACTTGGGACATGCAAAGAAGGCCTTCCAATCTTACAATCATACCCAAAATGATGACGCGCATTTTTATCTTCCACCATCTAAGAAAAGTTTAGACATACTCATACTCATACCAAATTGGATTAAGTATTGGGAACCATCACCGCTTTATCTCCTCACATACTGGTACCTCTCACCTGGGCATTCGCTTGTCGAAAATTGACAGAAAACGTCTTTATTCAACGTAAATTAATTAGTGTTACAAGTCTGAATATCCACTTCAGGAAGTTGATCAAAACAGAAATTCATTCAGCGCAATCTTTGAAAGGATTTTCCACACTGAGACCAAATCGCATGAGATGTATAAAACCAACGCATAGTTCGACTCTAAACAAGTATTCCATTATGAACGGCATTTTAGGTACTGCTTCTGCACTTGTAGCCAGCTGCAATGTGTCCATTCATATTCAGTATTGTGATAAAAATAGCAAACACAGAGAGAGCAGAACTGTATGCTACGGAGCGTGTCCCCAACTAACAGATGGAAGAACAGCCGTCATTTCGTTGCTACCCCTGAACAAGGCAAGCTTAGGTTGCGGACGATCAGCGACAGCACACGGGGATGTGGTGGGTGCATCTCCTGGAAATAGATCCCCGTACACATATCGGTGACCCGGTGGTCATGTTATCAAATTATCACCCCAGGAGACGTGTGTTTGAATCCCATCACCACTATCACCGACTGACTTGACCCAACGTTTTGTATGGTAGCCCTTTGTATCATTATGTATCAGTATGTATTCAATAATAGGGAGTAGATAATGTGGAGGGATTGTAGCTCGGGATGTGGATGTTGGCGCTGGTGTGTTCTCCGAGCTGAGAGTGATGTTCACAGACATTTCGTAGCCGGGCTAAACAAGATCATCAGTGCAACGTTGGGGAAGCGCTGGTCCTCAGTGTGACCGTGGTTATATAGTTATGTTCGAGGGTTTTGATTGGCCGTATGCGTCCCTTCAATCCTATTGGTCAGCTGTGACCATTTACTGTAATTTGATTGTCTGCATCGTTGTCAGGGTGATACCCCCTCTTTCCTCATTGGTCGACTGACTTTCTCGGACCAACCGAAAACCGGTTTCGAACTGGTTCTGGGTCGTTTTTGGCTGGGACAGTTTTGGGTCACTAGTGGTTCCTTAGATAATGATTGATTGGTTCCAGTTCTATATGCTTGTTTATGTAGTCCATCCTGAAGTGCCATGCTTCGATGAGTTCCCGTATCGACTTTGTGGTTCTTCTTCCGATTATTCTTGCATTGTCCAGTTCGAAGATGTGGTTTTCATCACCCATGTGGATTAAGATTTGAGACTTCTCCTCGTGTTTTTTGACTGCCAGTGTGTTCGTGTAGTCGGTCTTGAGTTTTCTAATGGTTTGGGCGACGTTGTATTTGTCCCAGTCTCGACACTTTAATTTGTATATGACTTTTGAAGAATCTTCTTTGGGCAGTTGATCCTTTGGTCTTGATAGGATAGCCTTCATTATAGCCGTTGTATTGTGTGCAACCAGAATTCCTGATGGATGTAATAATCTGGTCGCCATTTCCGAAACTCCCTGTATATATGGCAGTGTTGTTCGTTTAATCGTCGGTTGCCCCTCATGTTGTGCATTTGAGGCTTCTCCCGAGGCTTCAGTTGCCGTTCTCTCCTTGAGCGTCGCGTGTAAGCAGCGTAGCACAAAATTTGGTGGGTATCCGTTACATCAAAACACTCGAAAAGATGAGCCTCCTCTGCCTTTTGAAGTTCAAGAGTGCCGCAGTGCGTTTTTGTCCGTTTGAAAAGTGTTTTTACACAGCCTCTCTTGTGCGCCAGGGGATGGTTGCTGTAACAACTAAGTATCTGGTCCGTGTGGGTTGGCTTTCGGTAGAGGTCGGTTTCCAGTTGTCCATCTTCAGTTCGTTTGACCAATACATCTAGGAAGGGTAGTTGTCTGTTCTGTTCTTTCTTCAGGGTGAATTTGATTCCAACAAACACACTGTTGATTAGGCGATGTGTTTCCTCCAGTTGGATAAATCTCAGGATGACAAAGTTGTCATCAACTAGCCTGACCCACAATTTCGGGTTGAAGATAGGAATTGCAATGGTTTCCAATCTCTGAATAACCCCTTCTGCAATGAGTCCTGAGATTGGTGATCCCATCGCGGTACCTTGTATCGGTTCTTATAGCTGTCCGTCGAATTGGAAATACGTGAAAAGACAGATCCAAAAAGTCCAAGAGGTTTTCCTGTCCAATCCGGCTAGTTGTTAGGTTATCATCGTCGGTGTTGATCAGAGCTGCCATTGTTTCTTTCACCAAGTTGACGTCTATTGAAGTAAATAGAGCGGTGACGTCAAATATGACCATAATTTCGTCTTCCTCCGATCTCGTTGTTTGATCTTTTTCAAAAACTGCTCTGATGAGTTGAAAGAATGTTGTGAACCTCGAACCTTGACTGAGCAGTTTGTAAAGTTCTTTCGCTAGGCTGGTAGCGATTGGTCGAAGCGGGACATCCGGTATGTGAATCTTCGGGAGTCCATAGAAGCGTGGTATTGTACTGTCCTCCGGTTTCATGCGTCTATATTCATCCGCTGTGACGTAGTTGTTCCTTTTCAAATTACTCAATGTTTTAGCTATCTTGTTTTCAGTTTTCTTTGCTGGGTCGACTTCAATCCGTTTCTAAGTGTTGGTGTCTTTCAGTAGTGGTTTTGCCTTGGTTCATTACCCATCGTCAATCTCCCTTTGTCTGCCGGAAGAATGAATATTTTCTTGTACCGTTTCAGGTTGTCCATGGTTCATAGTTCCTTTTGATTGAACACATTTTTCTCTTTTCTCCTGTTCGACGCAGCAGTTATCCGTTGTCTTATGTCTTCTTTTATATTCGGTCGTATGTTAGCAACGCCTCACTTATCGGCGTTGCTAATCCGATTACATAATCCCGTCCTGTGCGCCCAAAAGTTGTTGCTCCAATCAGTTCACTTGCCGTGGAATTGATCTATGTTTTGTAATTCTAATAGACAGGAGAGGGCGAACTGACAAAGAGAGGAAAATGCAGACACCATGAACCAAAAGGTCCAGTGAAACATGAACACGACTCACACTGAAACGGACTGGCAAGTTGCCAAGGTCGTTACAATATATATATATGTATATATATGTATATATATATATTACACAGTTACCACTGGACGATCAAGAACTTGATTCCGGAGGATGAAAACAAATCATGACACCATTAAAGCCATTGAAGTTCTGCCATATTTTTGGACACATTTTGCACCATAGATACTGTATGATATGGTTGCAAGGAGAAGGGTATATGTTATAAACGGTAAATGTTTGGATTACCTCATTCGGTTTTTCACAGGCACCAGGTAGTGTTGAAGACAACCAATAGCGCCTGGTGCCTGTGTAAACCCGAATGGGCAAATCCAAACATTTACCGTCTCAATTGATTGAGTCACTCGTAAAATGTGATGATAGTCGGTTCGATTCTTGATAGGGACATAAAACGTACGCACTGCTGACGAGTCCCTAACAGGACGAAACAGCTTTTCAATACACTTTGTCGGTCATTAAAAAGATTCCCATCGCATTTAGGTGCATACGTCCTGTTCTTGGTTCAGTTCAGTTTGATCCCTAGCCTGTTTTAACACAAACGCACAAAGCTTTTTTTAGCAAA